GTCTCTCTGAATACAAGCCTTATGTCACGGACACTCAAAATGAACATTCAAGCCGACTCCAGGGCTGCGGAATCACAAGTCTTGACTTTTACTGTAGAACCACCCGCTCTTCAAGTGCAGAGCCCCTCTCCACCTTCCTTTGGTGCTGTTACAACTTCAAATGATTATAGTTCACCGATATCCGAGCCAAAATTGAAGAGATGCCGTGGCCGCCCTCATAATACCCACTCTTCGACGTTCCATATTAGACTGTCAGTGTCTACGTAATATGTCACATGGTACTGTAGCAAGACGGTTCGGAATTCCTCGTGCAGGCTGCAGCAATCTAGAGTACCATTTTTGATTTTTTCATGTAATAATGAGGTACAAGCTTCCTAACAATAAATTTGAGGACCTTCGCGACCTTCGTTGGACTGGAACTTGTTGGCGGCGGGCATAGGTAGCGTTAGCACAACCATGGCTGTGCAGTCCAAATCGGGATTTATTATGTAACAAGCGCTGGCTTCATAAAGCCGCGCGCGTACTCGCAGACTTCTTATACATACATCCTATGGGATCGTCATGTATTCGACAGTCTGCCTACGGGAGACTACTAACAAGATAGAAAGAAAGAAAGAAAAAACCAGTCGAGGATCAAAATACGAGAATATAAGTACTACGAAACAAACAACAAGAAGGTGGTTGCATAGAGTAGTGTGGATATGGATATATGTAAGATTTGTCCCGTTCATCCGCTCAATTGTTATGTATGTATGTATGTATGGAGGTGGCTACAGGTATTACTCGAGTACGACTTGCGCGCAGAAACCCTTACAGAGACCTAAGAGAGAAAATAGAGAATAAAGCGCTTGGCTAATACATGGGGAATGTAGGATATGAGATTGACATCGCGGGAGTTGGTGAAACGGGGGAAGAGACAGAAGAAAAGAAAAAAACAATAATCGTACTGTAAAAAAACGGACGGAGCAGCGGTTAAGCCACTACATAATTAGGAGTACCGGGAGAAAAATGTAAAACCGGACAGGGAGGAAGGTATCCATGTAACACTGCATCTGAGAGAGAAAGGGACTATGGTAGCAAGGGACGCTGGACGGAACAACAAAAGACGACGATCGAGGATCTAAGTTGGAGTGCGTGGTAGAGGGCATAAGGAAATGAGTACCGGGGGTCATAGATGTATCCTCAACCAACGAAAGAACAGACAGGTTCACCCAAGAGACCTAGTGTTGTACTTTCCTTGATTGCACCTCCTTCGAGTCTACCCAGCCGCAGACCAGGTAACAAGAGAGAGAGAGAGAACACAAACGACGCTCGAGTCTGGAAGAGAAGCAGGGCCTAGAAACTAAAAGCCCTTTGTTGTCCATTCCTCCCAATCCTCTTCTCCAAAGGATTCTCCTGCATCTTCTACACTTGAGTCGTTCCGTTTTTCCTCGTCTTCTCGTCCTTCCTCTTCCTGTCCAATCCCCGTCCCTTCTCCTTCACAACTGAGTCACGATTCCCCTTTAACACCAGAGATACCGCCCAAATGAGGATCAATTTCCCCCGCAGTCGAACTCGCGGAAGAGCCTCCAGCTGAGCTCGAAGTCGTAGTAGCACTAGCAGCCGCAGCAGAAGAATTGCTCGTCGTCGAATTAGCAGGTGACGTAGATGTAGAAGCCGCCGTTGCAGGACCAGTCGTCCCTGCTGCAGCTCCTCCAGAAGAGCTCGCCGGTTTCCCAGTCCCAGAAGTCGTATTGGCGGGATTCACGCTCGTCGGTGTAGGAGTGGTGTTCTGACTTGAGCTTTGAGCTTGCGCCTGATGAGCTTGTGCAGCAGCAACGGCTGCCGCTGCCGCTGCTGCTTGAGCTTGGAATGGCGTGGGTCCAACTAAAGTTCTTTGGAACCTGGCCCGAAGATCCGCAGTCGTCGGGTCTGTTGGAATATGGGGAGGGAGAGCATGTACAACGTGTGGGTGTTGGTAAGCGAGAGCCGGAATAGCGCCGTTGGTGAGAGGACTAGAAGTTGTTGCGCTGGGAGCAACGCCAACGTTAACCGGGACAGAGGGAGCGACGGAGGTGTTGGGTGGATGTGGGTCGTAATGTGTACCAGGAGGTGGGCCGCCGTGTTCATAGTGTTGCCGGCGCTGTAGATAGGGGGTGCAGTCAGGAATTAGAGTGCAATAGTAAAGACGATAGTAGCGCACCTGCCGGTCCCATTGCTCCCAGGCGCCTGCAATAATGGGCTCCAACGAAGCCAATTCTTCGTTGGTCATTTGTAAATTATTCAACAAATGCTGTTTTAACAGCGGTGCACAGGAAAATGACAGTAAAAGTGTCGTTGCAAACATTTGGCCCCCATTGCCTTGGATATGGGGGAAGGGTGGCTCGCCCGGCTGACCTTCGAGGTGAGGTGGTGGTGGTGGAGGGGTATGGTGTAACTCTGGAGGGAGATACTGCGTTTCTGGAGGAGGGACACGATAGGCGACATCTGAATCATGGATAGCTTCACCTTGCTGCGACACCCCGCTGTCGTTACCCATAATCATACCAAGCGCCTCCATCTTTCTCTGCTTGACCAGCGCCCGATGTTTTCTCTGTCGTTCCCTGGCAGCTGCCCGGATCCTATCTCGCCTTATAATCTCGTCTTGTGTCAAGTCCTGATCTACTGCATTGGAGGGTTGACCAGGATAATCGCCAGGTTGGGTAGCCAAACCGTCCATGGGGTAAGCGAGAGTAGTACCAGGTCCTAGACCAGCTCTGTCGCGCTCTCGTTTCCGGCGTTGGCGTTCTGCGGCCTTTTCACGTTTGATCCTCTGACTGTCAGTTTCGTTTTCGCGGGGACGTTTTTTGGAGGGGGTCGAAACAGGCGACGTTTCGGTCAACGTGTTCATCACAAAAATTTATTGTTCTCGCTGCTGGTAAGACGCGTTATGGGCTGTGACGGGGCGTGGATTGTCGAGAGCCCTGGTGACAATTTCGTGACCGACGGTGACCAAAGGTGACGGACAATTTGAGGCAAGAGTGTCACAACGTCCGACCATTCTCTTTTTCCTCTAACTTATGGCGTGGGAGAGTATTTTCTTGTTGTTCCCACAAACCACAGCCTCGATCACGGTCACCTCATCTCTTGCAAGGAAATGTAAGCTTCGGAAATGAAACGGAATACATACCAAATCCTTTATTGTTGACCTTCATCTTCGTGCTTGTCTTTTGATCATGTCCGAAAGGATACTTTAAGTCGACATCTTTTCGTCCATCCATCGTGCAAATGGTGAGATGGCCGAGTGGTCTGAGGCACCGGACTAGGGATCAGGGCACTTGGTTGACGGTAAATTTTGAATTTACCTAGATCAATATTGTGAGTCCTAGGACTCAAAGGGTGCACGTCGCTGCGTGCTTATACTGCCCTCAAGTCGTTTCGCTAAAAGACTTCATCGCACGCAACTTATGCTCTGAGACTGCTGTGCAAATTTCTAGCCGCGCTCGGCATAATACCGGAATTTTCCGGTCATGTGGGTATTTCACTCTACTGCCAGGTATGTTCTATATGCGTTATTCAGCTCTTCTCGTTCACTGAACGTTGTATACACAGTTTCTCATCGCTTATATATATTTTTTATTCTCCGAATACATCTCTTCGTGCTTGTCCTAGAACTCCAAGTCCAAAAGGATACTTTAAGTTAGGATCTTTTCATCCATCCATCTTGCAAATGGTGAGATGGCCGAGCGGTCTAAGGCGCCAGACTAAGGATCAGGGCACTTGGTGTCCATGCAATCTGGTCCGAAAGGGCGTGGGTTCGAATCCCACTCTCATCACTTCATGTCTTGGGATCAGTTTTTATTCACGACACAAACCTATCCGTCCCATTGAAGTGTTACGAAATGATAATCTAGAGGTATTTGGGTCTTGTTCAAGATGTATTTTGTGAGGTCTGATGTAGAATAAGGTATTCATACTTGGCACATTCAAGTGACTGTAGTACCCAGTCTGGATGAGGACCGCTCAAATATTAATAACTACTGATAGAAGATACTTATTGGATGTAACATATACATACTTACCGCTATTTGCTTTGGTGATGTCCGCATCTCAGTAGAGAACATAAGATGTGACTCAAACCCTCGTCAAATTTGACGATAGTCTCACTCGATTGAGAAACATTGGCTCGGAATGAACCTGCCAGAAACTCGATAGCTTCAAGCTCGAGTAGCAGCAACCGTGGCACGATAACCATTAAATTCAGAACATTGCATTGTAGGCTTGTGGCGTCAATGAGAGGTGGAGCACACTCATGAGAACAACAACGACACCACGCGCCACCCGCTAGTATAGCTAATCTTTCCCCCCAGGTGGACTACATAACACAGCAAAGAGAAGCTTATGAGCAATTTCAAGTCCTAATTCAACTGTGATTGGCTCCAACCTACCTTTCCAAGGCTTCTAATGTGAACTGTTTAATATTAGGAAAGCTGTAGGTACCCCAAATTTTTGTCTCTCGATATACGTATACTACTGTTAGAATTCCAAGTCCACAGCCTACACATACGTACATATGCGGTGCTTTACATACCGTTCAAAAAGCTGCGGTCATGAAACTAGAGATTGAAATTGTCAATCGAATTCTAAATTTTGAGGCGATGCATGTCTTTCTGGAGCTCTAAGAAAGTTTCTATGTTTCAATAGGCGGGAAGATGTTTTGTATTTGATTTTTACCAAACAGGAGATATCGGGAGAAGGGTCGACGTCCTGGAGCGAAGTTAAATTTAGAAGCCATCAAGCCTGGTACAGGGTAACTGACGGCACCACAGACGATCGATGATGGGTCAGAGAATTCTAGCCTGAGCTCGCAATTACCAGGGAAAGGTCGATCAAAACTTTTCTTGCACACAGGATGATATACAAATTTCAAACTGCTGAGGCTCTCTAAAGTGGATAAAATAGGTACAGGAGATCCCTGAAATATGCACACGTATAACATAGCTAATAAACAAGGAGGAAGCAAAAAGAAAGGGAAGTGTCATCGACGCCAGCAGGATTCGAACCTGCGCCCTCAAAGAGGAACAGATCCTGAATTTACCGGAGAATTCTAATCTGTCGCCGTAACCAGTGAACCTTTATGGTTCCGCGCATTGTTTATGCGTTACCCGTGTAACCTACCTACCTACCTTGGCTATAGCGCCGGTACCTCTGCCTCCTACCGAGTTGTCTGATTTAAAGCTATGGATTAGCCCTAAACATTAATCCTTAACGGGCAAGCAACATTTACTGAAGAAACGGAGAAAAACCAATTTCTTTTAGAGTAAGAGTGATACAAGAAAGAGACACAGTAGAGGAGAAATCATCAAAGGAATCTACAACATCGGTCAAGAAAAACAAAACCCAAGTACTCGAAGCTCCGAAGAACATACAGGTTTCAAGTACAACGTATGTTAAGTAGATAGATAGATAATAGGCGTCATGAAAAAAAAAGATCAAACCAGACAGGGAATATTTTACTATGTTGACTGTAGCATAAGCACTACAAAATGGAAAGATAATAAGGTATCGTAGACAGTCATTGAAGAGGAGGGCGAGAGGATTTGATCGTGGTGAGCAAGAAGAGAGGTCGATGATAATACTGGTAATACAATATTTAGTATTCGTAGATGGCAGAATCATTAGTCGGAGTTCGTTTTTTCTTCTTTTTTTTCGATGGGAAATGTTAGCCAGAAAATCGACCCAATTGGCGAAATCTATGCATGGCCTGCACCACCAGGCGCGTACGTCTTCGTGCCGATAGTGCCTTCGTGCTCGTAAAGAGGCGGAACCTCCTTGACTTTCATACGGAAGATATGTTTCTTGATGTTCCTCGGCAACGCTTTCAGTTGATAAACCGCATGAGTATGCGTAGGGACGCTGAACACTATTGGGAAGAAAGGAAAACACAAATGTTATCACCCGATACACTCTCTTATCTTGGGAGACAGTTGTATAAAAGAAAACGTACCTTGATCTAATTCTTCAAGTGACAACGCTTTGGTCTCTGGTACAAAGAGTAACACCGCGACGAACCCGAAGACGCTACGGAGAGTAGGAATCAGTTTCAAAGTAACAAAAAAAAAGATCAAAGAAGCTTACTTCCAAGCAGCATACCACCCAAAGGCACCTTGCGGCTGGAAAGCAGCTAATAACGGTGGGAAGGTGATAGCAATGACAAAGTTGCTGTATGATACGTATCCCTCAGGTCAGCGTCGACGTAAAAACCGACAAAAGATGAAAATGAACTCACAAGAACCACAAAACAGCAGTAGCGAAAGACATCCCGATATCACGTACGTACAGAGGGAAAGCTTCCGCGGAGTACTACAAAGCAGGACAGGGAGTGTGGAAACACACACACAGATGTTAGTACAACATTCAACAATCATCGAGAGCATTCCTAACGCACTGTAAACGGCACTGGCCCTTCACCAGGCGAATAAGCCATAGCAAACAAATAAATCCCCAACGCTACCACAGCCGTCCTCGCAGAGCCATCCGGTATATAGAACGCAAAACCAGTCATCAACAGAAATATCGTCATGAGAGGGAACGTCGTCAACAAAAGGTTTCTTCTGCCGAACGTATCGATCGTGTAGATAGCTGGGATAGCAAATAGCCAGTTGATCATACCGAAACCCCATGAGGCAATGAGGGATTGTTGGTCGGAGAGACCGCTTTGAGAGAAAATGTTGGTGGAGTAGTATGCAATGGTGTTGATTCTAAGACGGGTTTTAAAGAGCAGTTAAACAATTGAAATCAACCTAGAAAGCCGTCTAAGAGAACGTACCCGCAAAATTGTTGCATGAACATGACAATGAACGAAGCAAGGGTTGCGCGTCTGTTCCTAGGAATAGTAAACAGCTCTAAAAATTTATTCCTCTCTTTGGAGATATCTTTTTCGGCTTCGAGAAGAACATGCATATCTAACGGCGGACAGGCATTAGTTCAAACCATCATCCAGTCAGAGACCGAAAGAAAAACTTACAATACAGATCCCTGGTAGCCTGAAGAGGACTCTTTCTCAATCTTGCCAACGACTGGTACGCGTCTCTGTGCCTGCCCTTCATCATATACCACCTAGGACTCTCTGGGCAGAAGAACACCTGTACGATGATGACCAAGGCAGGCATACCCGCACTTGCAAGCATCAAACGCCAATTCAAACCAGTAATTCCAGGCTTGTCTGGTACAGGGAAGAATGCCAGACTAGAGACAGTACCAAACATAATACCGAAAGCGGTCCAAGTTTGCCACATCATGACGAGTGCACCACGGATGGCCGGGGGAGCACATTCGGCTGCGTATACGGGTACAGTGGCGGATTTGGGTCCGATACCGATGCCTAGGACGAATCGGGCGACGAAAAGGTGTTCCCAAGAGTTGGTCACGCCTTGCCAGATACAGGTGAGGAAAGAGAAAAGACCAGTGACAAAAATGGTGCCACGACGGCCAAGAAGATTATTGAGCTACAAAAAGTGACGGGTCAGTATATGAACAAGTTTGTTACCCGTCGTAAAGAAGACGGCTGAACGCACTGGATGTGTGAGCCAACAACCCAAGACAGCGCAGCAAAGATAGGGGGCTGAGTTGACGAGACCGAAGAGCCAAGCATTTCTGCCACTTGGACTTTGACCTCTTGTATCGATACCGAACTGAGGTGCAAAGAACAAGTTGGCACCGTTAATGACGGATTCGTCCATCTGTAAAGAAAGCAATAAATTTGAATTGATCGGAGATAAGATATTGGCTGGTACTCACACCCTGGACGGCAGCAGCCATTGAACAGAGGACTACAAGGTAGTACAACATTTTCGGCTGGTCCCATTTGTGTGTCAGCTCCCTCCTCAACACGTTCTTGTCATCCTCGTCCAACAAAGACAGCGACTCAAACGCAGTCGGGTCCTGAGCTACCAACGCTCCCTTCTGAAACTCCAAAGCCAAGTCTTCCATCCCATGGGTCTCGGCAAAGACTTTAGCATCTTCCATCAGCTGCTCGTGCGAGATCCCTGCGAGAGGGTTGGCAAGCTTGGCGTTGATATTTTCGAAGGAACCCCGGTCGGTGGATTTTTTGGGATAAGTTTCATTGTGAGAGACCGACGAGCTGTCTTCTCGTTTTGAGACTTCCGCCTTTTCGTTGAGACCGGACATCGTTTGAACGTCGTTGGTCTTTGATCGAGATGAACTTCGACTTGCACACTAGTTTTTATAGGTTGGGGCCCCAGATGATTGGTACATAATCGGTGTGGAGTTCTTTTGGATCTAGAAACGGTCATCTTGCGAACCATCATTGAACTACTGACGTCACGCACTATCGAGAGTATTGTTTCGACTCGGAAGCAACTCATTTCATTCCTGTCTGGTGGGATTTTCTCAAGATTCTGATCTCGGCTGAAAGGGGGCATGACAGGATTGTACGTCAGATACAATTCTGCGGGTGGCGTGCTTCTTGATTCTGGGAAGTTGGGAAAAACCTGGAGTGGGATTATAAAGAAAAACTGAAGTGCAAAAAAGGCGATTTTCGCTTACTTTCCCCTCGCGTTGCTACTGATCAAGTCACCACATCCTCGCATCCGGCGAACTGAAACAGTTTATGCACATGCATTACTTGCCACGGATTCGGACACTTCCTTCGTACCATATGTAGGTGGGTTTCCTCCGTTGTCAGCGGCGACAGTCGGTAATCGGGTCGGAGGACCGGGAGAGTATTAAGCCACTACAATGCCGACCTAAACTGGTATGTATACCGAGAACTCCTAAGTATAGCATTTATCCACAGTGGTGTACACATGAGCGCTTGAATGTGTATAGCCCATTGCAGATTGCTTCCATCTTTTCCGAGTTGGAGTTCGAAGGCTGTAGTTCGAAGGCTGTAGACTATCGTAGATCTCGGACTTGGGAAGTAGACAAGACCCGCGGTCGGAAAGCTCAAAGCTGAAAGAATGATACCAAGGATATGTATGCAGTTGTTTGGTTACGTCCTTAGGGACATTTCTTCGGCAAGACCCGGCTTATTTTCACATAAAGTCCCTCGTTCTCCCTCGTTCAGGCAGTTTCTGTGTATGGTCACCTTTAGTAGTCGTCCAGTGGTCAAGCCAGACAAGAAAATATGTCTGCTTTGCCCAACTAGGCCCGCGACTATGTAAATGCGGGAGAAGACATAGATTCAACAAGAGCTTTATACCATTTCTTACTACTACTGACGGACTTCTCATCGTTGGAGCAGGCGAGTTAATCCTATTGTACCTTCCCTTAAACATCTTCTTGTGCCTGATGCACTGTGAGAGAGCTTCGCAACAACCCACCTACGAGCGAAATTACGCAGGAGGCGTAATCTCGATGGGCAAGGGGATACGTCATAACCTATTGATATCAACGGAGACTCGCTTCAAAGTTGAAAAGAGTACATTCTGGCCATCAAACAACCATCAGAACTCATTCGGGAGAACTTCGCTTTTTTTTCTCGCTATGATGTTAATATAGTAAGTACACTGTGTACATTACTACTTATATGCTACTCAACCGCCCACATACCAGTCCGGCTTAGATATCTAGGCCTTCTTTGAATTTCTCCGAAGCTCTCGACCCTCAAGCAAAACAAAAAACAAAGCGGGAACGATGGTTCATCTTTGCTGCGGTATAGTGTCAAAATGCGATGTTTCAAGCTTCAAAATTCCGGTGTTCAGACTAGTCATTCGACTCAAATTCCAGCCCCCCTTTATGAAATAAGCAAGACCAATACACTTTACCTGGTACCTAAAAAATCAAAATCAATTCAACACCATACCGTGGACTTACTGAGGATTCCATATGCATCTTTGACCTCTCCGGCCATCGGCCGTTTTAACGTGTCTCTTCCTCTCGTACGAGGGATGGACCAAGTACATCCTGGAAAAAGTAAGAAAACCAGGGAAAAGATGGCCGATAACTTACCTATTCCCGTTAAGTACCCACTGGATCAAAAAGCTAGAACTTCCCTACGCCCTCAGCGTTCTAACTAGTACTTTACCCTGGTTAGTCTCTTCCTAAAGTTTCCGGCCATGGAGATTAATAGCAATACTATTGCTATTAATCTCCACAGTCGATCTAACCATCTCGAAAAGACA